AACAAAGGGGAAGAAAAAGCATCCATGCTACAAATAGGCTGAAAGAATTCATGTTCCCAAAACCAGCCCTACAGAAGATACTCAAAGCAATACAAAGAACTGGAGAAAGAAATGACCATACTCAGCTGGTTACTGAAAGAAAACAAATGAAGGTATAAAGTACAGAATCATAAAACCAAGAACAGAAACAGAAAATAAAATGACAGAAATCAACACACATCGTTTATCAATAACTCATCTGCCCCTTCAGAAGACACAGTCTTTCGATATAACTCTTTTAAATTAACTATACCTGTCTTTTTCACATTAAATCATTTTTGCCTTTCAAATTGTGGTATAGTATATAATATCATTTATTGTCTATAAAGCCCTATCTAAATAGGTTACTAATCACCTTGATGTTATTGGGAGGTAGTGGAGCCTTTCAGAGGTGGAGCCTAGTGGGAAATATTTGGTGTTAGAAATAGGAATAGGTCTTTGAAGGGAATTGTGGGTTTTCATGTTCTTATTATAACTCTTAATTTCAGATCACAAAATAACTAGTTTTGCCCTGTCAAGAACTCTATGCCATGGCCAGGATTTTTTTCCTTGCGACAAGCCCAGTAGCAATGAAGAAAATTGATCATGTACTGAGGGCTCCCACACTTACAAACAAAATAAACATTTTTATTTTATAATTGGATTGTCTTAGCTAATTTCCTCCTTGTAATTTAATTGTGGACCAAACGAGGTTGTTGGTCATTTTTTTATAGTCATCTGATCTTTGTTACTCATCACTGCAATTACAATTAGGCTTTTCAGTATAAATTTGCTCTTCGATACACAACCTTAAATTCTTTTAAAATGATTTCAGGGTCTTTTTTGAAGTTTCACATTTTAACTATGAGTTTCCACAATTATACTCTTTCTAAAACTTTTTACTCTTTTTAAATCTAAGAATTTGTGTCATTCATCAATTCCTGAACATCTTCAGGGATTTGCCTTTTAGCTAATGCTTTTTACAAATTTTAGAACATTCTGCTTAAATAATTCTGTGTAAGTCTCTATAGAGTTCATATATTATTCTCCATGATTATTAACAAGTACCTAATGTTTTAAATATTTTAACTATGACTCAGCTTATGTATCACTTCAATTCATTTTCTTTGCAGATTTGCATATTCAATGTAGCAACTATGATTATGCTCTATGTACACTTATTTTATCCCTACCTATTTTCTTGGATTATTTTACTATTTATCTGCCTTTCTCCATATCTTCATCCTTTATTATTTAATTGCCTAAACAAAATACTATCTTTCTTTTATTATCTTAATTTCTTGTGATGATAATATTTGAATTACTTTTGCTAATGATTCTTTTTTAAATTATTTTTTGAGAAACTCCTACATCACAATGAAATTCTCTCTGCATTACTCCATCATGACAAGTTCCTCATGAACTCCTTGTATGTACCCTGACTCTCTCCTAATATTTTGTTTTCTTCTTTATTATCGTTACATATACATACACAAATACATAAATTTATAAATACAGTTATATTTATACATATATGTGCATATATAATTCATTGAGTCCATTTAGTGGTGCTTGTAAGTACCCATGTTTAGGGCTAATCACCTGGTATTAGATAACCTCCCAAGGAGATATTTCCTGAATAAAACTGATGCTTCCTCAGCACACATTAACTCACTAATCAGCATATAGTGATTTACACAGAAACACACACTGGCCAACAAGCAGAGCATAAGAAGCTGCAGAGTTCTTATCCCCGAATAGGACACCTATTTCAAACTTTTGCTTTGGAACAGCTCAGGGATTATTGATGAAAAATGGGCAGAAAGATTGTAAGAGCCAGAGGTGTTGAATGACCACAAGAAAATAGAATGATCCAGATAGCTGGTTAGTTACTCATATGAACTCACAGCATTGGTGACAGAATATACAAGTCCCACATAAGCTCAAGCCAGGCAAAATTCCAACATAGACATGGAGGAGTGGGTAAGAAACCCCAATCTTAGATTGGGAAGTATTGGCAACCCAGGGCTGCTGGGTGGGGGGTCGAATCAGTCATGTTTAACAGTGAGACTCTTGGTAATTTGACGAAACTCCATTTGCGAATATAAATTTGACTATAGGAACACACACACACATGTTCCATATATATATGGAATTAAGGGGTAGTAAGAGGGGGTGCAGATAAGGGAGGGGAATCTAAAGACCATGAAAATATATTGCATGAAATTCACAAAAATTCAATAAATCCAAATACAGTATGTGCATACATGAGCATTGAAAATTTCACAGTGAAACAGATAATTTTGTAGAAATTATATAAGATAATATAAACAAACAAATAATCTATGAAATGCAGATGCTAGAATGTACATTTTTTAGTAGATTAGGAATTAAACAATGATGTACTTTGGTCATTGGTATACAACTTTAGGATCTGTGGCACTAAGCTTATATTATCTGCACTCACATTTGTTCAATATTTTCAGCAAAATCAACAGCCTACACTAAATAAATACTGCAAAAATAAAATCAGAACCTGAAAGGAGCCCAGTGTTCTCTATATAAGTCATGGCACTGGGGAAAACAATAGTTTTACACTTGACTAGAATCAGAAGTATCTCTTTTGTATGCTCGACTGCTTTAGTTGTCATCCAAAGACAGTTTTTGTCTATAAAAATTAAGAGACTAGAAAAGTAGAGACTATCTTTCACTTATTTTTAAATATGAAAATATAAATGCTAATTTTCAGATGAAATGCTTTATCTATTTACATTTAATAAAATATGCCTGATATTGAGTACCTTATATCTAAAGTCAGTCCCCTAAATAAGAATAATCTATTTTAATAATTATTTATTGCTTCATCTTTTTTATTTTTGAGTGATTAAAAGAGGATTAATTAATATGTACTTTTGGAGTTTTTTGTACTCTTAGATTATGAATTACCTGAGTATGAAAGAAAAGCTTATCATCTTCAAGCTTTCTAAAATGTCCCTTAAATTACTTGTGATGGAAATAAAAGTCAACGTAAAAATTGAATCAAATAGATCAAAATCATCAAACCCACTTGGTATATAGAGGAAGTCATTCATTACTGTGCATTCTTTCCTCACTTAAACCCAAATATTCAAATTATCAGCATCTTATCAGAAGCAACACAGCTGTAGTCATTGAGTAATGTAGGGAAAATCCTAAAGTTCCTAGTTCTAGTTCACAGAGGTGTGCTATTTGACACTTTCTAATGCTTCTAATATTTTCTTTACATCACTGAACCTTATTAAAAAGCTAAAGAGTATATAAAGTATTTTCTTCTACTCAAATTGAGTTTTTACTTTGAAAATTAACATAAATGTTAGAGAAATGTAGCAATGAATTATAATAAATCTCATTCAGTTACATTGTTATAGGTCATTATAAATCCCAATAAAATTGTTTTTTCTAATGAAAATATTACTGAAAGCTATGAATCACTCTTCTTATTGTTTTGCCCAAAGAAGCATGAAAACCAATATTAAAAATAACATTACTTTTCTGTTTTGCTTGTATTTGTTTTTTCCAAAATCCAATTACAAAAATTTGGACTGTGATAAAATAAAAACACATTAATTTATGAGTAACAACTTGTCCAACTTTAGTGACAAACTTTTCATGAATTATAAATAGCCCAAAAAAGAAGCTTTTATTATAAAAAATGTCATCAAAACTAAATTTTAATTAAATAGTTATTGAGTTTCTAGTGCAAACTAAATATTATGCTAGGCACTAGGGATGAAACAGGAGTCAAACTTTGCTCAAGTTTTCCAAAAATTTAATGATGTGATGAAGAACTGTATTTCTTTCAAGGCAATGAAAATAGTTGAGTTTTCATCTAATGTGAATTTTCTATGCAGAATCATAAAAAAGACCTCACCTCACAAAATTGGGATGTGAATGTATTTTTAAGACGTATATATTAGGGGACTAGAGTGATGCCACAGTGTTTAAGAGGACTTGATCTTCTTGTAGAGGACATGGACTTTGTTCCCAGTATCTAAATAGCAGCTAACAACCAAATGTATCTCAACTTCCAGGGAATCTAAAGTCCTCTTCTGGCCTCTGTAGTTATCATGCATGCATTTGGTGAACATACATATATGCAGGAAAAATATTCATAAACAGGAAATAAATATAAGTAGAATCTTTCAAAAACTGTATAATTACACAGAATTTAATATATCAGTTAGATTAAAGTCATTCAACAATGTTTGATAAACAAATATAAATATAACTTAAAAAGTTAAGTCTAGAGATGTGCGTAAGTAGCCAGAACCTGTAATTGATGGCTTGCAAATCATGGAACCCTCATTTATCCTGATAAAATAGAAGATCAGTAGTGGATACTGACATCACATTTTGGATAATTTCTTTAAGTCAGGGCATAGAATTCAAAAAGAAAATTAATAAATTATTCTGAGAAGCTACATTGGTAATATTTTTGTACATTTTAACAAGAATTTGGAAATATGCTTTGCTAGTTTTTAGTTACCTGCAATGCCTGAAAAAATATTTTCTGTGGCAAAACAACTAACATTTGACTGAAAAGCATTTTACTGAATCTGTTTCCTTTAAACGTGATGGGGAACATAGAAGTGTAAATTTTCTCTTCTTGGCTGCATATAATAAATATACTAGTTAATTTTAGACATTTATCAGAATATTTCTTCTAGGAGAAATAATCTTTTAACTGCCTTATTGAGTCAATAATCAATTCATCCAATATTTACTGTGTTCCTGTTTTGTGAATACTTGTGTTTATATGTTTCTGTGGGTTTGATTTTGGCTAGTATTAATTTTGTAAAATATTTTTGAAGTGTTGAGAAATACAAGGTTTGAAATCAGACTTCTCAGTGTTCACATTTCAGTTTAAATATTTTCTACATATATGATCTTGAAGGTGTACTCTTACTTGTCTTACCTCCAATTCTTTCACCTAAACTAGTGACGCTAGTGCTCACCCCAGCAGCAGCAATTGGAATGATACAGAAGTGAATATTAGCATGGTCCTTCACAAGGCTGACACACACATTCATGAAGTGTTCTATATTTTCTGGGAGGCAGAAACAGGTGGCTCTCTGAGTTCAAGCCAGCCTGGTCTACGGAGTGAATTCCATCTGGTGTGAGTTACAGAACTAGTGGTGACTGGATGACTACTGGGTGAGGGAAACTTGGTTTCCTTTAAGGGAGTGATATTAGATAAACTGACCATGTTCCAGCCAAAAACTCATATTAAGGGACATTTGGGGACACAAACTTGCCTCAATACGCCTTTACATATATGACAGAATTCATTAGTTCTGATGGGGGAGTTCTGGGGGGTGAAGATAAAAGAGGGGTCTAAATATGATCAACATGTATGAAGTTGCAACCAATAGATTTATAATTCATTTGATGACATACTAGCAAAATTTGTCATGTTAATCAAAGTTCATATTAAATGAAAACTGAAAGTTGGGGAGATGTTTCAGTGGGTAAACTATCTTCCAGATAAGTTTGAGGACCTGATTTTGGATTCCCAGCACCTACATAAAATCCAGGCACTATAATATATATCTGTAATCTCAGCACTTGGGTATGTATTACAAAGAGGTTGAAACAGGTGATCACTGGAGTTCACTGGCCAGTCAGCTCAGATGAATCAAAGAACTCCACATTCAGCAAGAGACCGTGTCTCAGAAGAAGGTAGAGAGTTGGACAGTGAGGCCCCAGAGACTCCCAAACAATACGTGGTCTAGCCATTCCTCTTGGTTGCCCATTAAAACCAATTGATAAGAACTTTTGACTGAAGACAGCACACACTTTGTTCCATGGTATAGAGAAATCAGTGTGAAAGCTTCTTTCTGACAGCTATTTTTCATAGTCTCAGAAAGTAGTGTGATTGCTGCTAGGGGAGAAAAGTCTTCATGGTCTTACCTAGCATTGAACTCTATGAACTACAAAACCAATCTGTCAGGCAAGGTGTGCCCATAGAATCAATAGTGGCAGTATGTCATAAGGCTGACCAAGTATTCTCTAATTTAAGTTGAGCCTTACTCTACAAGAGGGAACCATTGTCTGGTACTGCAAAGCTGATAAAAAATCTAAGACTAAGGAGGACCTGGGTCATAGAGGGAAATTGAATATTGCTTTTTAGCTAAATTGATATAACATCAATCTTCTTTTTAAATTTTTATGTTTTATGCATATACAAATGTAACCCTCATCATCAATCAGAGAAGCTTTTATCCCCCAGTGGATGGTGGTGAATACCACCAGACTCCAGGCAGGGAATAAATGATCAATGAAGCTTCATCTCTAAGAAAGGCATTCATATCATCCATTACAAAGTTCAAGGTACATTGTGGAAAAGTGGGCAGAGAGAACATAAGAATCACAAAGTAGGGAATAAGGTCTGTAAAATGTCATTTTCCAGGTAAGACACAGCCATTGAATTCATAAACTCCAAAGGGCTGTGTGTGCACTGGGTTTGTACAAGAAAGGCCTATCAATAGTCAAACAAGTTTGATGGATAAAGGAGGTTGGGGCCATACTCCTCATAACAAAGCTAGTCTCTATAGATTTAGGGAGAAGGGGAGTCAGAGTCATTACTTTCAGTTGTATATTCATTAGTGAACCAACCAAGCTCCAATGGGTATTTGCAATCAAGCCAATGGTCAAGAGAAGGTTTTAGGTAAATTAATGAGTCAAAAAACAAAATTAAAAGTCGAGTCTGAAAAAGGAACTGAGAGAGTTGTTTAATATTTATGAAAGGGTAATAAATGAGGATGGGGGAGAGAAGTCAGAATGAGCTATATACATGTATTAAATTATCAAAGAAAAATATTTAAATGTTGAAAAGAGATCAAGGAAGGCATCTGACTTTTACTTCTGGCTTCCATATTCACATACATGTGCACATGGAGTAGCATACACATATGCATTTACAAGACCAAGTATATTCACCAAACACACATACAAAGATAGCAACCTAGTATGTGTGACACATGTATACTTATTTGTGGGTTTCTACGCACACTTTTAAAACCATATCTCAAACATGCCATATAATATTCTGTTAAGACATGACTTGCTAAACCATGTTATGTACCATTTGCCTGTCATTCCAGTACTTGGGTGGTAGAGGAAGGGGGATCTGGAGTTCCAGGTCAGCCTCAGACACACAGAAAACTTGAAACTACCCTGGGCCATAAGAATTCCTCTTCTAGTTAGCTTCAGTTATCAACTTGTCAAAGACCAGATTTATCCAAAGGAGCATCATTTGAGGGAATGTTAGATGAGGAGAGACTATTGAGCAAGCCATTAAGCAGCATTCCTACATGGTTTTCTGCCTCTGTTTTTGCTTGAGTTCCTACACAGACACTGCTCAGTGATGGATTGTTAACTGGTACTGTACGTCAAATACAAGTTGCTTTTTTATGGTGTTTATCACAGCAATGGAAAGTGAAGTAGGAGAATCCTGTCCCAAAATACTCACCAACAATAAACAAAGATAAAGATAAATAAATAATAAATAACATATATGGCATATATACATTTTGTTTCATTGAGCCATACTTTAGGGGGCATGCCATAGATTTTATTGATATTGCCTCATATTAAGACTTAAAAAGCACTTAAAGTAAGATAGATATAAAGTAATTTAGTTTTTGAGAAAAGAACTTGCTATACTGTTAAGTATGCATCTCATTTTGCAGCCCACAGTTTCAAACTTGTAATCCTCCTACTTTTTCATCCTAGATGTTTTTTCAATATTAGTGTTATATTATAATTTTACCTACAGAAAAATGTCTACATTGTGAGGGTAAACTTCTTTAAATTAGGTAACATTTTAGATGGACTCATTTAATATGTAGATGAACAGCAATGTATTAAAATACAATGAAATATAAATTCTGAACTCATTTTTTAATTCTTCCTTTTTATGTATTCACTCAGAGCTACTTGTTTCTTCAGTAATTTATTATTTTCATTTTATGCGTATGAGTGAATTGCATGCTTGTATGTAAATGCACCTGTATTTTGCAATGCCAACAAAGGTCAGAAGAGGTTGTCAGATTCCCATGAAACTGGAGTTACGATGGTTGTTAGCCACCATGTAGTGCTGGGAATTGAACCCAGCTCCTCTGCAAGAGCAACCAGTGCTCATAACCACTGAGCTATCTCTCTGGCCTCCAGAACTACTTCTTGACTATCTGATGAGTACAGGAACACATTTAGAAAGTATCAATGAATGGAATAAGTTGGCATCCATTGTGAAGAATCAGATAAAAAAAATAGACACTTAACATATAGCTGAAGGCTATATAACAAGAAACACTGTGCTAGACAGGAGAAACTTCCTTTTGGTTTATAGGTCAGGGAAGTACAAAATAACACAAGCTTTTGCCACAGCCCTTGATTGCTTCCTATATCATGAAGCTAAGATTCTGTTGCTGAAGACAGGATTTATTTCAGACACAGGGCTTGGAGCAATGGAGTTGGAACAGACCTGGAAGCCTCCTCAGTGAAGACTAGCTCTGATTGTTTTAGAAGATACTACACAAGCTTATAAGGGAGAAAAATCAATCAGTGATTCAGCCCCAGGTTTAAAGCCTAAAAATCACAGCAGTGATCTGCATAGCAAACTATATATGTGTAGTAGTGGCACTTTTACCTTAGGGGTAATCAACAGCTATCTAATTTGACTTGAAGCCTGCTAAATGGGAGGGAACCCATGAGTGGTACTATGAACATAGCCAAATATACATGGCTGAAGAGGTCATAAATCCTAGAGAAAACCCTGTGTCTGTCACAACCCTAGACAAACATAATTTCTTATTGTATGCTAAATATGGATTTGTATATTTACATACAAGTATATCTGTCATACCTCATTGAAGAAGTTTCTTTTTGCAGCAGATGAAGATTATTACAGAGTTCCACAACTGATCAAACACAGAGAATACATGTCTGTGAAGAGCCCAGACCTAAGTAACACATCTATAATGGAATGTCTACATCTAAAGCACATGGAACATAGTGAACAGAGGTAGGGAGAATACCAATACATCTCTCAACTCTCACCAGTGAACCTGCCTTATGCAGCAGAAGGTGATTTAGCATAGAAGGCCATAACAGATAGACCAAAGTATAGAGAATAAGAGACTGTAGAGTGCTTTTCCTGGGGTAGGATTCCTATATTAAACCTCACTCACTAGGCCCAGGGACCATTGTGGAAGAGGGGTAAGAAAGAGTGTAAGAAGAGCTAAATGTGGGGCATGACCAGAAGAAAAAAAAAGTCTTCCAGGTATCTGGAAACTTACTCATATGAACTTAGAGCAATGGTGTCAGAATGAACTAGACCCAAGCTAATTCTAATAAAAACTCAGAATAGAACTGGAGAAATGAGCAGGAAGCACCAACCTTAGCCAAGGAATTACAGGCAGCTGATCACTGCTGGATGAGAGAGAGTTGATCTAGATAGCTGATGCTAGATAGGATAAACAGATTCCAATGGATAAATTCATATTGAGAGACACCTGGGTACACAAATTTGACTCAATAGGCCTTAACATATTAGACAAAATGCATGAAACTTGTGGGTGGACTAAGGGCAGGAGGTGTAGGTAGGAGAGGGAGCCTAAATATGATTAAGATGTATTGTACAAAATGCACAAAAATTCAGTAAAATATGTATTGAAAAGAGGAATGAAATCAAAGGGAAGAGACAAGGAAGTACACACAGTGATGTTTGTAGGAATGTGACTTAGTGAATATAACTTTTGAAATGAGGGAAGACCCGACTTGCAATGTGACATTTTATCAAAGATCTGAAAGACATAATAGATTAGCCCTATGGATAACCAGGGAAAAGTATTAGAAAATTCCTCAAGCAGAAGCATTCTGTGCATGTTTGAAAAACTTGAACAGGATTATGACTGAGGAAGCATGAAGAAGGGGTAGGACAGTAGGAAAAAAACTCAAATGGTTACAAGTGACCGAGGGTAGAGGAACTTATGAGCCTCTCAGCTTCCCACTATTTTTAGAGACTTAATATAAGATTCTCATATAC